ACCCACCCCACCACCTCCGTGCTCTTGACCCGAGGGCCGCTCAGCCTAGGGGCCGGTGTAGGCGGGGCCAGGCCTCCCTGACACTGATTCTCCAGCCTGGGGCGGTGTCCACGTGGCTGCCCTTTCCCAGACCCACGCGTTTCATTGGGCGCCAGGCGCCACCTGGTGGTCAAGCCAGAAGCTGCCACTACCAGAGCCGCGTGGAAAGCATCCTCAGACCCTCAATGTCCTCTTCCTGTGAGCTTGGGGAAACTGAGGCTGGGGAGGGGTAGGATCTCCCCAGGTCCCTCATAGAGGCAGGGCCTGGACTAGGGACAGAGGTCAGGGCTCCTGACGCCTGTCCAATGCCTGCAGCTGGGCTTAAGTGGCTTAGGGGATGTAGGGGCCTGGCCATGCAAGGATGGAGGACGGAGCCCAGCGCCTGAGGTCCGCTGCACTTGCCCTGGCCATGCCAAGGCCTGGGAGCCGTGAGCACTAGCAGGTCCCACCTGCTTCCCCAGCACGGGTCCCAGGGCCCACATTCGGCAGCATCTTTGTAGGAGACACTGGCCTCACTCTTGAAAGCAAGGAAATGGGACCAGGTCTGGGGTTCACACCTAGGAGCCAGGCCCTGCCTAGGCCCAAGGCCCAGCTCACTGGGGACAGGGGGAGCCCACAATGGCCCAGAGCTTTGCCTAGAGCGGCAGCACCAACAACCACGTGTCAGCGCCTGTCCTCGGAGGTCCCAGCCCTGAGCCAGCCTCACGGAGCAGCTCAGAGCACTGCCCAGCTCTGAGTCCTGTCTGGGGCCTGGCTGCTGTTCCCTTTGCTGCTCCGGAGCCCGCTGAGTCCCATGGGGACAGGGTGTGAGGTGCACTTTCTGACTCTGAGGGCCCCAGCCGACAGGGTAAGAAAGCCAGGCCTCTCTTCGGAAGCCCCTAGGGCAAGGTGGGCAGGGAGGGTGGGGGTACCAGCAGCTACTGAGTCTGGTATCACAGGGTGGGTCTAGGTGGCTCCCCTGGTAGCAAAGGCCTGGCCTCCAGCTCTCAAGGTCAGTCCCTGGGGCACCTCACATATGACAGGTCCTAAATCTCGCCTGCCCAGATCTGTCCCCAGCCTGACTCCTCTGTCCCAGTGGCCATCCACCTACCCACCTGGAGAGACCTGGACCTCCCTGCCACCCCCATCTCTGCCCCAGCCGGTCCCCAGGTCCCAGCTACGTCACCCTTCGACAGCCTCTCAAACCCGACACCTCCAACACTCCCTGGTCATGACTGTCGTCTCGGCACATCCTTTGGCCTGAGCCCGGGCAGCCACCCTCTCAGAGCTCTACACCCCCACAACTCCTCTCCCTTCACGGTGGCCAGTGCAGGGTTACCAGCCCGGGCTGCGCTCAAGCCCCTGTGTTGGCCTCTGCACTGTGGAACAGCCACTGGGTCTGACTTAAAGAGCCAGAGCTGGTACAGTCCGGCTAGCCCAGGAAACTGTAGGTAAACCAAGTCACATGGACCTGTTTCCTCCCTGCAGGCCTTGTCAGAGCCTTCAATAGGTTCACCACAGCATGACTCCGAGAGAGGGCATTGTGAGCAGCAACTGTGGGGCATTTGTCCAGGGAACGTGCCATCCAAGAGTATTTCCCAGGCTCCTGAGAGGGACAGCCAGCCAGCTACCTCCTCAGCCTGGGTCCCCGGGGTCCCCCAGGGGCTGCCCCCTGCTGTTGGCCTGCCCTGCAGCCTCCTCTGCCACTTTCCCCCTGGTGCTGGGTTCCACCCTATTCCACTTGACTGAGTCCTCACTCTAACCTGTTTGTTCATTCAGTGGGCTTTTTTTTGTTTTGTTGTTTTTGTTTTTGTTTTTGTTTTTTGAGATGGCATCTTGCTCTGTCACCAGGCTGGCTGGAGTGCAGTGGTGTGATCTCACCTCAGTGCAACCTCTACCTCCTGGGCTCAAGTAATTCTCTTGCCTCAGCCTCCTGAGTAGCTGGTATTACAGGCACCCGGGCAGGAGGCTGCCAGGCATGTCACTGGCTCAGGACAATGACCGGTGGTCCTGTGGCTGTGGTGGGCACAGAGACCCTCACACCTCCCCTTCAATCACACACACGCCAGGGGAGCAGGAAGCGCCCTGGGATCCCTCCCCAGGATTGTCCTCAAACCCAAGGCTTCCACAGCCCAGAAGGGGTCACCCTATTCCCAGCTTTGGCCTCGGAGGTGGGGGCTGCTGCCACACAGTGTCGCTGTTGGGAAATGCACAGTCCAATGGCGGGGGTGGCTGGCGGGCAGGGACCCAGGCTGCCCAGGAGGGGCGGATGGTGGGGGAAGCAGGGCGGGATGAGAGATGGCAGCCACTGAAGGAGACACTGACCTCCCGGGGCAAGGCCCTTTACGGCTTCCCTGGCAGAGCACGTGGCCCTCCTGGGCCCTTCCTCCACAATTCACAACCAAATCACAAACCGCGCCCCCGAGCAGGGTGGTGAGAAGACACCCAGAGGCCAGGCTGGGTTCGCGCTGTATTCACCCGTCATCCACCCCATTCCAGAACATACTCATTACACATTCTACATTCAATATTCGAGGGGCCATTTTCCCTTCCGGCTTCAAAAGAAATGGAAACAAGACTTCCTGGGCCCTCAGCTCTGCGCCCCGTGCTGACGTGTGACCCGAGAAAGGTCCCCCTCAAGATGCTCCCTGTCTGCCACCTCGCTGGCCTTGTCCTAGCCCTGGCCCTGGATGGCGGCCCTGTCCCTTGGTGCTCAGACTGCTGGGTTCAAGAGGTAGACTGGCTCTGCATCCCTCCTAGGAAAGCCAAGGTCAGCAGAGGCCCTTTTGAACCTTAGGGCCCGGGGGCCTCTCAAAGGGCCCACTCTGGACAGCCCAGGAGCCCCCTCGAGTCTCTCCGAGACCTCATCTCCTTGGCGGGCAGGGCCGTGCAGACCTTTCTTCCTCGGGTAAGACTGTGCTGTGGCTGTACTGCCTGAGCTGGGAGGGGTCCGTGGCACGAGGCTCCTGCACAGCCCAGGAAGCTGGGGCCATCCTGAAGGTCCCTGGTCCCCGGCTCTTCTCTCTGGACTTGGTTCTCAAGGTGACTCCTCCACATCCCTGGGCACTCTGATAAAGTATCAGCTTCAATCCTCATGGGCGCCCTGGGAGGTGGAAGCTACGGTGACCCCACCATGAGACGGGAAACAGGCTTGGTGAGCAGAGTGACTGATCTAGGCCTGTCATCCCCAGAGCTTTCACAAGCTGCTGCCAATCAGGTGATAAGTGGCTCCCTCCTCCCAGGGCCCTCATCCTATATTTTGGGCGAGTTCTGGCAACCCCATCTCTAGGTACGGCCAGTCCTTTGGTCAGCTGGAGGGTAGGGAGGGACACGGGGTGAAACAGGCATCACCTCCTCCAGGAAGCCACCCCTGACTGCAGGGCTGGGTCCAGGGATCCTTAGGGTTCCCCAGCCCTTGGGCTGCTCCACTGTGATGCTGACCCCAACACGTGGCCACTGTGTGTCCCTGGCAGCTCCCCGACCAGCCCTTGAGCTCTGCAGGGCCAAACCCTGCTCCAACTACACAGTATGGGGGCCGGGAGGAGAGGCTACGTTCACAGTCTGCTCAGACACAGACAGGGGCTACGGTGGCCAGAGGTGGGTCTGAGCCGTGGACTGAGGGGTGGGGGAGCCGTGGTGAGCAGGAGAGAGTCCTGGTGGAGGTGAGCACAGGCATGAGGGAGGGGTGCTGGGAAGCAGTGCAGGCGAGGGTGTCGGCAGAGATCTGCTCCGGAGACAGAGGGGGTTGCCCTGAGACTCTGAGGCAGTGGGAGGGGGGAGGTATGGAAATGGTGTTCACAGGACAGAAGTGACCAGACGTGGCTGCGGACTGATTATGGGGTGAAGAAGGGGAGCTGGACAGTGCCCATGTGTCACCCACTCTGGCCCCAGAGGATGATGGGAGAAGGGACCACGGGGCACATCACTCACTCTGGCCCCAGAGGATGATGGGAGGAGGGACCACGGGGCACATCACTCACTCTGGCCCCAGAGGATGATGGGAGGAGGGACCACCGGGCAGGTCACTCATCTCCAGCTGTAAACTCCTATGCTGTCAAGACCCAACTCAGATGGCCCCTGCTTTAGGAAGCCCTCCCTGCCCTTGGGCCCCTCCTCCACATTCCCTTTGCCCTTGGTCCACAGTGTGGCAGCAGCTCTGGGAGGGTAGGCAGGCCTGGGCTCTGAGGTGCTTGCCATGAAGAACTGGCACAGATGGGTGTCAGGGTAGGGGGTGCTGGTCTGTCCAGATGTGGCCATGCAGGGCTGGGGTTGCCTGCAGAACCAAGGGAGGTCAGGAGGGCACAGGGGGGAATCTGGGCCAAGATCGTGGGCTGGGTCAATAGGAGGGGCGAGGATGGGCATTTGGGTGGGGGAGGTGTGGGCCCAGTTGTGTCAGCACCTCCCCTCCAGGCGCTCTCAGTGCTGGTCCAGGCATGGACAAGCCCACCCCGCATGCCCAGGGTGGGACTGCTGAGACCAGCCTATGGCAGCTGCTGGCACAGGGGCATGAGGCCTCCCAGGACAATGGGTGCACATTTGGGACGGCAGTCAGTCAGAGGAATTACAGGTGCCCTGGAAACTGTCCTGAGGGAGGACGGAAGGACAGGCATGTCCGGGCTTTGGTCAAGGCACTTAAGGTACTGAGGTGGCCTCGGGAGCCAGGCCTTGGCAGTGCTCTGAGCTGTGGACCTGGGGCCTCTGTGGCTGCCCCGTGGGGACCTCTCCACTGGGCTTGGGTCTTGGTGCTCAGCCTGCCTGGCTCAAAGGCAGCATGAGAGGGCAGAGAATGGGCTGGGCCTGGCATCCTGAGCCCAGGGTGCAGCACGGAGCCAGCTGAGGACTCTGGAGGCGCTGGGAGGCACGAGCAGACAAGCCTGATGACCTGGAACAGCTCATGGCTGGGGGCCTCCACACTGTCCCGCAGCAGATGCCCCCCAGAGCCCAGTCCCTGGGCTTCCAGAATGAAAGGGGCCAGTTCCAAGTTCATGGTCAGAACAGCTTTATTGACTCTAGGCCCCAGATGCCCGCCCATCTTCGGCTCAGACCCCCTGTAGGTCACCGACGTCGGGGGCAGCCCTCCCGTGGGGTCGTGTCACTGGGCTCCTCAGGGAAGGCAGTAGGTTGTATAGTTATCTTCTGAGGGGCAACATCACTGCCCTGAAACCACACAACCTACTACCTCACCCCGCCAGGCCCGGCCTTGCACTGCGGGAGGGCCCGCCGCCCCCGCCCAACACCAGCCCCTGCCCAGCGGTCCTCAGTCACTGGAGCAGGAGGGCTGGGCAGGCGCAGGGCAGGAGGGATGGGGAGATGGCACCCCAGGAAGGGGCAGCTGCTACTGGCTGGTCTCAGGAAGGCCCAGCTCTCTGGGCCTCAGTTTCCCCAGGTACAGAGGAGCCACCATCTGCCTTCAAGTTGTGCCCATGTGGGGCCCAGGGTGTGCAGAGCTGTTCCTCTCACTTCCTGCTCGGGAAAGGTGCCTCGGCCTCCCTTCCTCCACAGGCAGAGGCCCTGCCACTGAGCTGGCCAGGCTGGGCACATGCTGGGCACCTGGGGTGGTGGGCAAGGCCGACACTCACGGCCCTGTGACCTCCGCATGTCTCAGCCAGCCCTGGCCCTGTGGTGCCTTCTGGTGCTCAGCGGCGGGTATGGCCCAGTCTCCTGCTCAGGGTCACCCATGAGCCTGTGTCTGATGGGGCTGGTGTTGGGAGACAGAGGTCGGACAAACAGCCGCATGCGTCGCCACTCTCAGTGTGGCTGGGGCAGAGGGTGGGGTTGGCTCAGCTCTCCTCTGCCCTGGATGCTCTCCTTCCATCCTCATTTGCCTCCATTTTACAGAGGAGGAAACCGGCCCAGAGAGATCAGGGGCCTGTCCAAGGTCACAAGGCAAGAGGAACCTAGGCCTGTCAAACTTGTTAGTGTAGGGAGCCCTTGCCCCCGCTGGCTGCCAAGCCTGCCCCCAAACCTGCCCCCGCCCCTCCCAGCCAGGGATCCAGATGCTCTGTCCACCGCAGATATTACAGCCACTTCAGGAAAGACAGTAGATTGTATAGTTATCCCATAGCAGGGCAGAGCCCCAAACTATACAACCTACTACCTCACCCCAAAGGGCAGTCGGTCTTGGTGCCGATGGGACTCCATGGCTTCCAGAGGCACCTCCTGGAGCAGGGGAGGAAAGAGGGCTGAGGGGAACAGGGCTCGGGGCTTGGCAGGCCACAGGAACCAAGGGCACAGGGATTCTGGCAGGCAGGTGCGGTGGGTGCAGGGGACTGGGACACCCAACCTCTGGGAGTGGGGACACCGTGGCCAGCACCAGCAGGGACAGGAGTCTGCAGGAAACCACCAACCAGAGAGGGACGAGAGAGAGAAGGAAGGAGGGAGCGAAAGCCCCAGTGGCATTTTGCGACGCTGTCACAGGCAGCCGGCCCCCTCTCATCTGGACAGGAGTGGCCATAATGTCCCCAAGGAACTCCGCACTGGAGACCCTAAGAGGAGGGCCGTCATCTGTCAAAGGCCAGCAAGCCACGGGCGTGCGAGTGCCCACCCTGCTTGGCCCTCCCTCCCCACACAGGCCGCCAGAAGCAGTACTCGGGGCCCCCAGGCTGGCTGAGCAGCAGCCCCCGGGGCGTGCTGTCTCCTCCCACTGGGCAGGCAGGCATCCCTCCCCAGGGACTCCGGCTCTGGCCCTGCTGTGCAGGCTGGCCTGAGCTGACCATGCTATAGGAGGTGGCGGGACATGGTTCTTTCCTTCCTTGAAGGAAGTGGCCTCTCAGGGAGAGCAGCTGTGGGGGAAGCACAGACCCTCGGGGCCACCCAGGGTCCAGTGCCTGTCCCTACGGGGGCTGGCACACTCATTGCCCTAGCTTGGGGCTCACAGGGCTGGGACAGAGTGTGGCATGAGGACGGCACTGAGGGGGGTCTCGGGGTTCCCCTAGCAGGGGAATGTGGCAAGAGATGGGCCTCCCTGAGCCCTGCCTATTTGGCGCAGGGTCAGCCTCAACACATGCTAACTGTGGCTACCACCTTCCTGGGGGAGCCTGAGGAAAAGCTGAGGAGGCAGGCACGACTGTCAACTCCTCTTACAGGTGAGGAGACCGAGGCCCAGAGAGGCAACGTGACCTATATGTCACACAGCCAAGGGGGGCAGCAGAGTGAAGTCCAAATGTTCTGCTTCCTGCCAAGTTAAACAGCGCGCTAGCTCTCAGCTCCCCGTGCCCAACTGGACTTGGAAGGTCTACCCAAGCCCTCCTTCCACAGCGCATCCTGAGCAGGCCGCCTACTCCAGGGAGGCACCAGGCTGAGCTGGACCATTTAATCCTCACAGCCCTGGTGAGGCTGAGATAATGAATCCCACTTCGTAGTGGGGAAACTGAGGTTCAGGGGTGCTGAGTCTCTGGCTGGATCCCACTTCGTAGTGGGGGAAACTAGGGGTGCTGAGTCTCGCTGGATCCTACTAGAAAGTGGGGAAACTGAGGCTCTCTGGCTGGATCCCACTGTGAATGGGAAACTGAGTGGTCTGGGGTGCTGAGTCTCTGGCTGGATCCCACTTCGTAGTGGGGGAAACTGAGGCTCGGGGGTGCTGAGTTTCTGGCTCTAGGTGCCTTTGCTCTCAGAAATTGGTCGGGGAGGGGGTCTGCTTGCTCTCTGGGCACTGTGTCCTACTCCCTCCCGAGGGGCATCTGCAGCAAATCCCAGGTCCTCAGCCAGCAAGGAGACCACTGAGGCTCACACCTGGTGCCACCCACCCAGAACTGGAGACTGAGATGCTGACTCACCCAGGCGTGGGGACTGGGAGGGCCCCAATGCAGCCTGACCCTCCTCTGTCCGGGCATCATCTGCCCTGGGGTCTCGAAAACCCCATGTTCCCTCAAGGCCTCAGAACAAAAGCTGTATGAGAGGGTCTGGGGGTCCTGTTCCCCTGCCCCAATTCTGGATCCCCTGACTGGTGGGCAGGACCAAGATGTCCCTAAGGACTGTCCGGGCAGAGCCAGCCAGGGTGGGGCGGGGGCTGAAGGGACAGTGGCTGAGGGTCTCCTTGGACCCTCCCAGCTATGGTGAGTGGCCAGAGTGGGAAGATCAAGGCCATCCCAGCTCCGCTGAGCTCAGGCTGACTCAGGCTGTCGCTCACTTCACCACCAGCTCCCAGTCAGGTGGTCCACCTTGAATGTCCCCGCATCTGCCCCCATCTGCACCCCTGGGAAATGCCTTGGGGAAGGTTGTGGGGTGGGTTGCACCCTAAGCATGCGCTCTGGGCTCCTGACTTAGTCTCTGGCTGGCTGGGTCCCCTCACACCTACTGGGTTCTGACCCATGGTCCCAGTAGGCTAAAAGCGGGGTGGCGCAGGACGGCCCAGCAGGTGGAGCTGTGGGAATCCAGGCCGGCCTTTGGGCTACGCTCTGGGCAGGTCTCATGCCCTCGTGGGCCGTGGTCTCTCCTCTGAGGCAAGGGGTCAGCTGCCAGGGCCCCGCCACCAGCCATCAGAGCTGGAGTGCAGGTGGGGACCACCACACAGATTCCAATGGCCCCAGCCCGGGCCCCACAGGTCCCCCAAGCCAGGACTTCAGCCCCCCAGAGCCTGCAGTGCCCACCATGGGGGGCCCCAGCCCACAGGTCTGGCTCTATAAGGTGTGGCAGACAGAGAAAAGCAGACAGGCCCCTAGTCCACCCTGGTCGTCACCACAAGTGCCCTCTCCCTGGGCCCCTAGCCCTGCCTGGGAGAAGCAGATATGACTCAGTTTCCCTTATTTGGCCTTTCTTGTTCTGGGTTAGACTTACCCAGGTGGCATCTTGAGTCATCCTGGGTGACGGCAGGTAGCCTCAGGGCATTAGGGCTGCATTCCAGGATGACTGGTGGCTAGGTGACAGGAGGGGCTACCGCAAGGGCTTCTGTCCCCAGGGAGCACTTGAGGCAGGCTGGGCCCTGCAGACAGGCAGTGCACGTAACAGAGCCCAGGGCCAGAGAGTCTTCAGGGTGTGGAAGTGAGGCTGAGGGCGCCTCTTCCACTCAGACACCCTGCAACGAACCACAGCTCCTTCAGGCCCTGTCCAGCCTGAGGGGTGCACCACCAGAGTCAAAGGTCACCATGCCCCAAGTGCACAGGGGGTGGATGAGGTGGGCCAACCGGGGGAGCTTGCTGGAAGGGTGGTGGGAAGACAAGAAGAGACAAGACTTTGGGGGAGGCCACAGCCTGGGCAAAGGTTTGGCCATGAGACCATCAGGTCCCCATCTAAGGACCTCTGCGCCTGAGTGTGGGGCCTGGAGAGGACCAGGAGTGGCCTGGTTCAGACGATGGCCCTCCCTCCCTATCAGACCTCCCATGGCTCCTCCTACCTCCAGAGCCAGGATGGCAGGAGGCCCAGCTCACTGCGAGGACAGCTAGCCACAGGCAAGAGCTCCAGCTCAGCGCCCCTTCTTGACCTGTTTGGTTTTAAAAACAAAAGTGACAAGTGTCAGCTCTAGAAGAGATGTGGCCTCGCCCAGCCCTGAACCCCTTTGTGACATTGGGCCTTGCCCAGACATCCTGCACCAGAACCGACACTCCAGCCTGGCCTGTCTCTAGCTAGTGGCTCACCCACCCCTGCAAGGGCCTGAATGGAATGGCCTCCGTGGCCAGCCCTGTGTTGGACAATGCCAGATCAGAGGTGACCAATACCCAGGCCTGTCCTTGAGTGGTCAGTGGTCACATTCCCCTGCTGGGAAGCCTGTGCCTTGCCAGGCTGGTGCCTGGATGTCTATGACCCAGAGGAGGGCCGGAGGATGCACAGGGGGACAGCCTGGTGCCACTTTCCCAGGCGCCTGGCCTGTCAGCAGGTGGCTGGACCCTGTAGGGAGGGATTAAACCCCCACTGCACCGAGGAGGATGCTGAGGGTCCACAGGGGCTGTGGCTTCCCCTGGGACCCAGGCCAAGGAAGGCTTGGCGTCCTCCCACGAGCGGAAACCCCCCAGAGGGGCCCACAGGATCCAGTCTGGGCTGCAGGGCTTCGGCAACAGCTTGTCCAGTGAATCAAAACTTCACTTTACTCCAGCCCATTCTGGCCAGAGTGCCCTTGCAGGACAGGCCCGGGGTACAAAGGCCAGAGAGGTGCATCCAGGCAGGAAGGGATGTGGGTCCCCAGGGCTGAGCTCAAGATGCTGGATGGGAGGAGACATACTCTGGTTCCCCACAGCCCTGTACCGTGTGACCTCGAGCAAGGGCAGCCCTGCTGGGGACCAGGAGAGTCACCCACCAGGCTATTGAGGGGCCTGTGAGGACACCGGTTGGGGGGTGCCCTTCCCTCCTCCTCCCTGAGCACCAGCCCTGCCCGCACTCCCAGCCAGCCAGGCCATCCACCACTGCTGACACCCTCTCTACTGTCTCTGCCCCTCCCCAGCGTGCCCGCAGCCCTGGCTCCCCCTCCAGCCTTCCAGAGCAGCGAGTGCCCCGGGCAGGCCTCTGCTCCCAGCATTGCCCTGGCCTGTCCCTCTGCAAGGCACCACCACCCTCCTTTTTCCCGCTCCTTTCCCCAGAGGGCCCTGTGTTCCCCGGTGAGTCCCGGCTCTGCCCCCAAGGTTCTAGGACTCACATCTGGACCACTCAGGCCTGCGGTAGTCAGGGAGTCTCAATGTGGTAGTGCCCGCTCTGGGGGACTCTGAGGAGGGTGTCTGGACACATTTCCTGCACACCCAACACTGCCATGCTCTACAGGACCAGGAAACAGACGCTGTGACCTTATTGGGCTCCACCCCCACCACAGAAGGATTTGCACAGGAGAACTCCAGTCGACAACCAGGACTTTCTTGAGAACGGGGTGGGGAAAGACTGATGTTTCCGCGTCGTGACCCACTCATGGAGCCATGTCTGAGCCGGTGGGGAGAAGGCCCCAGTTGCATGCATTGTGGGGTGTGCGCGGGGGTGATCTCCAGGCCCACCTGCCCGGCAGCCCTGGGGGTGAGCATGGGGCTCAGGCCTGGGGAGACAGCAGGAATCTCCCCTTTCTCAGGAGGCTTCCTAAGACAGACCAGAGAGACCCTTCCCAGCCAGCCTGGATGAGGGCTGGGCGGACCACGCAGCGTGAACGGCGCTCCCTGAGCAGAGCTGACGGGGAGTGAGCAGTCGGCAGGCGCTCTGCCATCTGCCAGCTGCCACCTCCCGGGCGCTGCCCCGGCCCCACGGTGTCTGCCCGTGGGCAGGGTGCCCGGCAGGCCCAGGCGGGGGAGGGGCCAGGCCAGCCAGGACAGGTGTGCGGAGGCCTCAGTGGGCAGGTGGCCATTTCAGGGCCGGGCGGATGTCTGGAGCAAGTGAGGCAGACAGACGGTGTCACCCTGAAGTCACCTCGGGCTTGGCTCAGGGCCACTGGGAGCCGGACCCCCCCAAGGAGCACACCCCGGCCACCCTGATTGGGTTTCTCCCCATAAAGCAGCCAGTGTCTCTGCTCAGCAAGCCGTGCCAACAATGGGGTCTGGGAAAAAGACGGGGAGGGGTGGCGTCCGGGGGCTCGGACGGGAGGCGGGCCTCCTGCAAACACGGCCCAGAAAGCTAACGAGATGCGCACCAGGCAGCCTGCGGCTCTGGCTTGGCCGAGGCAGGGTGGGGACCAGGGCGAGGTGTGGGAGGCAAGTTAAAAGGACCAAAAACCCAGCCATCAGCAGAAATATCTTATTGCAAAATTTAAAAAAATCAATGCAGAAGGGTCCATGATCTAAAAATACCAACTTAAATCAAGATGGGACGGGTAAGGGTTACTAACCTCTCCTCTGGCCTCAGGCTGCAATACAACTAGGCCGCCCACAGTCTCATGGTCCCCAACAGCATGCCACGAGGTGGCCGTGGCAAAGCCACGACTGGAACTGCACTCCTCAGATCCACGCTCCTCCCCTGGCCCTGCACACCTCACGCAGGTGGGAAAGGAGTGTCCCCAGGATGGAGCATGGCCCGGACCCCAGGCCTGCCTTCCTTCCAGGGCTGTCTGGGGTGCCAAGGTCCCCTCACGGGCCCTCCTGCTAGCACCCTCCCTGTCTGGCTTCCCCAAAACTGACACCCACATGCTCCGGGTCAGGGTCTCCACTGTCAGGGGTCTGTGCCCTGTCTAGCTTCCTGCTTTCCTGTTCTCTCACAGCCACTAAGCTCTCAGTGGGGGTAGGGGGCAGGCTCAGGGAATGTCCACTCCCTGGGGCAGGGGCCAGGCCTGCTGTGGCCACATGTCCTGCACCTAGAACAGGGTCAGAGGTCCAGCAGGCTCCAGCGTTGTGGCCACAGGTGTGAGCGTGGAAGCTCACAAGAGTAATGCAGCACCCGAGACACCTGAGGGCTGGCACTGGCAGGGGAGGACCGTGCTCTCCAGACGCACCTGCATCCATGGGGCACAGGCCTGGGGGCTGCCGACGCACCTGCATCCATGGGGCACAGGCCTGGGGGCTGCCAGGCCTGGTTCTGACCTGCTCTGTCTCCCTCAGTGATGGGCCTGGGATGGGGCAGGTGAACCCCTCTGGGCCTCAGCTGCCTCCTCTGTAGGATGGGTCAGGACGCCAGCCCCCGGGATGTGGGGAGAATCTGGCGGAGCTGCCCGTTAATGCTCCAGGGTTACGCAAACAGGCTCACTTGGAGTCCAAAGGGGAAAAGCAGGAATGCGGAGCCTGCTCTTCTCCTGTGGGGACCTCTGTCTGGTGTTTAATCATTAGGCATACTTTTAACCTCAAAGGCGTGTACTTATCTGAAAACATTCTTAATTCAAGTCACAGTCTGGGTCACAAGGTGGGGAGAGTAGGAAAGAATCGGGGGTGGCGGGGGGCGGTGACCAGATGCAACCACATCATTAAAAATACCCCAGCCTGAACCCCACCCTGCGGTCACCCCACCCAGCAGCAACTCCCCACCAGGGACCAGCCCTTCTGCGGCGGGGGGGCTTTTCCTGCAGGGAAGCCTGGGGCTCTGTGTGCCCCAGGAAGCTGCAGGCCTGGCCTGGCATGTGGGGCAACTCTGGTCTGAGCGGGCAGGCGGGCAGAATTCTTCCTTCCCATGCCCGGCTGGGTTTCCCCAAGGCGAGGGCAGGGCCTGGGCAAACTTCGCTTTGTGGTGACGGAATGTTCTGTCCAGGAACCACAGGGAGAGGAGTCTGGGCGGGGTGTAGGGTGGTGTCCAGAGACCTTTCCAGGCCTCAAGGGCTTGGCTGGGTGCCTGGCAGGTGTCTGGGGAAGGGTCTCCTCCAGCAAGGAACCGACCCACGCCATGTAGAGAACACAGGCCACCATGGGGTCCACCTGGCACCACCCCACACCACCCGTAGGACCTGTGTTGACCCCTAGAAAATGCACATACTTATCAAACACCATTCCCTGCTTCGCCTGGAGATTTCTCCCAACTTCTTCTAGGAGGCGCACTGCCCTCCAGGGGACCTTGTTGCAGAGATTGCAGGAACCCATGTGTGGCCAACCTCACAGGGCTCCCACAGGGCCCGCCTGCCCCCTCCCGGCCTGGCCAGGCCAGGGGCACAATTGTCCTCCACAGCCCACACCCAGTGTCTCCCTGATGCTGATCTGCAGCCCCCCGGCCCCCAGGGGTTTCCTGGAGACCGTCCCTTCGGGAATGTGCCACTTGGGATCCTCTGGGTGCTGGAAGGGCAGGTGCATGGGTCTGTGATGGGGCAGGAAGCAAGCTCAGAGGCTCGGGAGAGGCCGAGGGGCTCCAGTGAGGAGGGAGATGCTGTCTGGAATGGCTGAGGTTCTGGGGATGGGGCCTGCAGGAAAGTGGGGGCTGTGCAGGTAGCCAGGAGGGAACAGGTCCTCCACTCCTGTGTGTCATAGACCTTGGCTGGCCCCACCACAGGAGAATCCTGGCCAGAGTGCGGCCCTGCCCTCTTCCTGAGGTTGGCGGTGCCCATCTCTAAGTCAGAAGCTGGGCTGGCCACTGAGACACCCACTCCCGGCCGGGCCAGGCCAGAAGCGCAATAGGTGAAGCGGTCAAGGCCTGAAGGCATCGCCCCTGAAGAGGTGCGGGGAGCCCATGGGGCCTCACAACTGCCTGCACTGCCCTCGGCTCAGGGCTCCCCTGCCAGCGAGGCTGCACCGGCCCGGCTCTGGCTCGAGGCTTCTCTGTCTGCTCGGCAGGACCGCCTCAGGGTGGCAAGGGGCCGGCAGGGTTGGGTGAGGGGCCAGGACTCCCAGCCTGCCTTGCCAAGGGCTGGCTGGTGCCAAGCCTGGGGCAGACACGGCCAAGGCCAGACTGGGCGGGGGCCGGTGCTGGGCTCTGTCCAGGCCGCCAAGGGCAGGCAGGCGGGCCATGGCCGCCCTCCCTCCCAGGCCTCTCCAAGGCCACGGCCACCTCAGCTACAAAATGGCGGCAGGCCGGGCGGCCATTTTGCAGAGCGCTTGGAAGACAAAGGCCGCCGCGGGCGGGAGCGGCTATGGGGCCGGGAGGAGGAGGAGCCACTGGAAAAGCAGCACAGTGCCCGCCCCGTGCGTGGGCCCAGAGATAGGCAGGTGGGCCTTTTCTGGAACCTTCTTCCGCCCAGGCTCCCAGCGGCCGGGGCTTCTAGAGACCTTGTCGTCCCGTCTAAGGGTCTTGCAGTGGCCCTGGGGGACTGGGGCCTGCCTGGGGCACCGATGCCCTCCCATCTTGCAGCCCAGGTGGCCTAGCCTCAGGCACGACCTCTGGGGGAGGTGGCAAGGGCCTACTGAGCCTGGGCTCCCGGATTCAAAACCTTCCTTTGCCCCCAGACCCAGGGAGGGCTGCTCCTCATTTAGCCGAGGTTGGAGTGGTCCCCAGACAGGCGGTTCGAGGGCCTGGCCTGAACTCCAGGGACCACTGTGCCATGAAGCAGCTGCCATGGGGACGCTAGGGAACCTGCTCCAGGGATGGGAGGCTGCTGCCCCCTCCACCTTCACAGCACCCACCCCACAGTGGGGACGCCAAGGGACCTGCTCCAGGGATGGGAGGCTGCTCCCCCCTCCACCTTCACAGCACCCACCCCACAGCCTGGAATTTTTGGGGCCCTGCTGACAAGGGTGGGGGGTGGGGCCCACTCGGCCCCTCCTGGAGCCCTGCCCCAGCCAAGCTCAGCACCAGCCACTTCCCAAACAAGCTCTGAGCCCTGTCCTGCTCATCTGTCTGGTGACCGTCTGTCCACTCCCTTCTTGTGTCCCCTTCTCCGGCCTCCTCTGGACAAGAGGCACAGGCCCCACTGCCCCCAGCAAACACTCGCTGGATCCAGAGTAGAGCCTGGCAGGCAGCACCCTCAGATCCGACAGACAGATGGCCCCAGGGATGCCTTCCTGCCCCTGCCCAGCAGTGGTCTCCATGTCTCTTCACCAGGTCTTAGTGAGAACCCAAAGGTCCAGCCAGAGGTCCAGCAGCGAGGCTGCTCCTGGGCTGGGGGTGCAGCCATGTGGCACTCCCTCCTGGCCTGTGCAGGGCAGAAGCCTGTGATCGCCACCAATCCCACTGCACAGACAGGGAGGCCAAGGCCCAGGGCAGCCGAGCTGTGGCCGGCAGCGGGGTGCTCACAGGGCTACTGGGTCAGGGGACAATGTTACTCACACACCTGAGGACTCAGCCCAGGCCTCTGACGGGGACCGCTGATCGGGAGCCACAGGCAGGGCCTGCATCAAAAAACAAGAATGAAATGAGGGAAGCCCGCACGGTGCTTACGGGGTGGGGGTTGCCTGGGTGACACGGTGCAGCATCAAGGGCAGGTGCTACTGTCCCCATCACCGTGTCCCCAGTTGCCCTGACGACTCTGTGGGTGTGAATGGCACAGCCACCTCACCCGTTTCCGGGGCCTCTCCCACATGTGGCTGCTCCACGGTGGGGCTAGACCAGCTGCATACTGCAGGCTCCTAGGCACATGCTGCCAGCTGGGGACCTGGCCAATGTGAATGCTTTGTCACTGTGACACGCCAGGCACCCACTGAAGCCCCTCACACCTGGGAACTCACTCAGTCCACGTGATAACCTGATCAAATGCAGGAATGGAGTGGCTGTTCCTTCCCCCACAGCCGCAGCCAGTGCAGGAGCAACCGTGCTCCCCATGTTTCAGGGATGAGGGAACGGGGACCCAAAGATGTTTACCTGCCTGCGCACAGGCACTAGGTCCTTCTGTGTTGGGTGAGCCCAGGAAGCCCCCATCAGGAGGCCCGTTTTCCTTTTTCAGGGACAGCCAGGGGTCTCTGGCTCCCCAGTTCTCGAGGCCAGCCTGGCTGGGTGGGCAAAGTGTTTTTGGAGAAGGGCATGTCATACCTGGGACAACTGGAGCAGCGACACGAAGCTGCGGGATGAACTGGGAGCCTGCTCCTTCCCAGAGCTGGACATGGCAGTGCTTTCAGCTCACTACTGTGTGGTGAACAAGGCCCCCAGCCTGGGCCATGCCTGAGGCCAGGTGCCCAACCAACCAGGCCAGGGAGGGAAGCTAGAGCTAAGGAGGCAGCAGCCTTGGGCACTGCCAGGAGCACTAGGGCTGGGGTTTGGCCCACCCCGACACCATCCCGGCAAGGGCCTGAGTGGCAGGGCCTGTCCCCACCACACAGCCAGACTTCGGAAGGCTCGGCCCAGACCCCAGACCTCAGCCCCTCCCTGCCCCTGAGGGATCTGGCAGCCCCACACTTTGGCGAGACTACGTTCATGGAACCCAGAGGTGCTTCTACTGTGGGGCAGCTTGGGGCCAGAGCCCTGCTCTGCTGTATGCCAGCCTGGTGGCCGGGGCAAGCCCCATAGGCTCTTGGAGCCTCAGGGGAGGGACACTCAGCAGGGACATCAGGAAGAGGGATGACTCCATGTGACTGGCTCAGGGCTTGGCCCACAGGAACTCCCAACAAATCTGAACTGAATCAAGAAGGTGTTTCACCCAGATGCTGTTGCAGGTGGCTGTCCTTGCACCATGTCCCATCCCTCGTCACAGTGAGGGCTCCACCTCATGCTCACCGGAGTTTCTCCCAGCCAGAAAGCGTGGCTCAGAGCCAACAGGGAGGTGCCGAGTGACAAAATCACTCTGCATTCTGTCCATAAAGACAGCCCCGACTTATTAGGGTCCAACTGAAGATTTCTCAACCCGAAGGGATATGAATTCAGTAGAAACCAACCACACTTCAGTACAGTGTTGAATGAATAATAGGAGATCTTCAACACTTTATCATCAATAGGCTTTGTGTTAGATGATTTTGCCCAAAAGGAGGCTAACGTAAGTGTTCTGAGCACGTTTCGGGGAGGCTGGGCTAAGCTATGATGTTTGGTAGTTAGGTGTATTAAATGCTTTTTTGACTTACAATATTTTCAGTTGACAGTGGGTTTCTCAGGACAAACCCCACTGCAAGTCAGGAAGCATCTGTATTTCAGCGGGACTGAAAGATCAGATGCAGGGCCATTGTAAGGGCTTGCTTGCTTCTGTCTGGGTATAAAAAGGCATCTGGGGCCGGGTGCAGCGGCTCACACCTGTAATCCCAGCACTTTAGGCAGAGGCGGGCAGACCAGCTGAGGTCAGGAGCTCAAGACCAGTCTGGCCAACACGGTGAAATCCCGTCTCTACTAGAAATACAAAAATTAGCCTGGTGTGAGGCAGGCACCTGTAATCCCAGCTACTATGGAGGCTGAGGCAGGATAATCACTTGAACCTGGGAGGCAGAGGTTGCAGTGAGCCGAGATCGTACCAAGGCACTCCAGCCTGGGCGACAGAGTGAGACTCCTGTCTCCAAAAAAAATAAAAAATAAAAACATTTTTAAAAATTAAAAAAGGCATCTGGGTGGCCGGACGCGGTGGCTCACGCCTGTCATCCCAGCACTTTGGGAGGCCGAGGAGGGTGGATCATAAGGTCAGGAGATTGAGACCATCCTGGCTAACAGTGAAACCCTGACCCTACTAAAAATACAAAAAAATTAGCCAGGCATGGTGGCGGGCGCCTGTAGTCCCAGCTACTTGGGAGGCTGAGGCAGGAGAATCACTTGAACCCGGGAGGCGAAGCTTGCAGTGAGCTGAGATCATGCCACTGCACTTCAGCCTGGGCGACAGAGCGAGACTCCATCTAAAAAAAAAAAGGCATCTGGGTATTTGACATGAGAACAAACTTCTGTCCCCTCGACCTGCACGCGGAGGCAACCTGGGGCTGCAGCTCACACCCTTCAACCTCTGGGGAGAAGAGAAAGTGCCACTCCACCGTCTGCAGAGGCTGCTGAGGTCACATCATGGTCCGCCGGGGCCCATTCTCAGGCTGTGGATACCAGGTCCACTAGGCAGTCTTGGAGCCGGCTGATGTGGCTTCTCAGCATGGCTCTGCCATGGGGTGACAGGCCATCACCTGTCTCACATCTGCACCCATTCCTGAAGGATGGGGCGGCCTCTCCATCAGCCAGAACCCAGGGTACCCAGAAAAGGAACAAGTTCCTTCAGAAAACCAGCCAGTGCCGGGTATCAAGGGGGCCACGTGGCCGCCAGCTCTGGTTGGGGCTGTGGCTCCTGTTGTCTGCCACCAAGTGTGGGTGAGGCACTGGGCCACTGCCACGGTGTGGCCAGCAGGATGCCACCTCCTGAGTGTGAGGCCTGAACAGCCCATGAGAGGCAGGCAAGGCCGAGGGACCTGCCTGGCTGAGGTTTCCCCGTCCTGGGCCAAGGACTCCAAGAGAAGCAGTTTTGACTTAGCTAAAAAACAAATGCTGCTGAGGGAGTCCCTGTCCCCATGGACCTTCAATGGCTCCCCCAGTCCAAGTCAGCACCCCAGAGGCCCTCCACAGCCCCAGCAGCCCCCAAGGCTGAAGGCCAGAGTAGGGCCAGGCTCCTGGTCCCCAGGCTCCGTCTCTGCAAGAACAGTGTGGGACAGTAGCCCTGTCTTGCTGGTGGTCCTAACAGAGGGTGTGTGACCCCTGTGGTGATTACACCAGTATCTGGCATCTGATGAGCACTGAGTAAGCACCTACTATGTGCACCCAGCCTCATCTTCCACGGGTCATGCATATTGGGGTGCTGGTCCCAGCCCTGTACCGTCCACTTTCCCCTGCAGGCCTCTTCTCCTCCACTCCAGGCCCTATAATCCAGGGGGCACACCCTCACAGCCTCCCTGGACCTGTCTGTCCAGGCTTGGGAGTCAGAGACTCAGGGAGGGGCACATTCCACGCCCAATCCTGTGTGAGGGACACGCCTGTGGGGTCTGTTTCATTTGGAACCTGGAGGCCACCACTGCTGCCCGTGGGATGTCGGGGAGATTACATTAGATGGTGGCCAGCTGTGTATACAGGGAGGGCTGGGTGCAGGTGGGATAAGGTCCCACGGGCAGGCCTGGGCTTATGGTGGGTGCCAGGAAAACCCCGGCTCCATGGACCAGATCACCTTGGCCAAGACCCACTAGGTCCCCGTCAGATGCCTGGGGTCAGCTGCTCCCCCAGGCTGGTATCCCTGTGACAGCCCCGCAGTTCCAAGGGCTGCCTGCCCTGCCCTGTGTCTCCTCTTCCCCAGCCCCTGCCCCTCTCCTGCTCCCACGCTGTTCTCCTTCCTCTGTTACCCTCCATCCTCTTTCTCCTCTGTCCTGCCCCTCCTCCCTGATTCCCCCAGGGGCCTCCCCCCACTCCCCACCTGTGTCCCTCCCCACTCTCTGCTCGGCTGGTGGCCCAGCCCTGCATGAAGACACAAAGGCCCCGGGGCAGCAGCGTCTGCAGAGTCTGGCGGGCAAGGCCGACCTGTAAACACGCCGGGCCCCAGATGGCAGAGGGGTCCGGGCCAGACGCCGGCTGCTCTGCTGACATGCAGCGGCCTGGGGTCCTCTCCCCACAGCCTCGGGGAGGGGCCTGCCCCTGGCCATGGCAACAGCAGGGAGGGGAGAATGCCAGTCCTGCCCAACCCACATGGCCGCACGGATGCCCCAGGAGGAAAGAATCATCGGCGACAGTCTGCACTCGGGGGCTGGCTCGCCAGGGCGAGGGACCCCAGGCTGGCTGCAGCCTCTGAGCAGTTCCCAGCATGACCGGCCCGTCCCCGGCCATGGCCATAAGACAGCCATGACAGACAGCAGCAGGCAGGGGACATCTTACCTGCTGAGCCCCCAGCAAATACTGCAAATTGCCCCATAGTCACTGGTCCCCTAGGCTGCCCTTGGCCTCCCCTCCCAGGGCCCTTGAGACAGCTGGATCCTTGCAAACAGAAGCAGCACCCAACTCAGGCAGGAGGGAGCCCAAAAAAACGGCCAGACCTGGACCAAATCTGGCTTCTTGGAGCCCTGGTTCCTCAGCTGCAGAAAGAGGCTGGTAGGGGCGAGGAGGGAGGAGGTCAGGCCAGCCCCAGCTGAGCCCATGCCAATGTGCAGCAAGCACCTGCCTGGCTCCTTGGCCCCCAGAGCTCTGGGGCTGGTGCACGTACACATGCATGGTGTGTGTGTGTGTATCCAGTTTTAGGCACGCCCGGCAGAGGGTGGAGCCAAGAGGGAGAGGTCTGGGGAGCCCCGATTTTCATCAACGTTCACAAACTGTACTGACCTGAGGGTGGACACAGTCCCTTGAGCTTCAGGCATCACTGGGTAGGTGGCCAAGGGTGGAAGACCTGGAAGGAAAGAGAAACGCTGAGGAAGTCTTATGATGGAACCCCCGGGTGTGTGGGGCACTCTTCCCTCATCTGTTCCCTGTCGGCTCTGGCCTGGCCTGCCCTGAGACCGCCATGAGGCCTGAGCCCAGCTCAGGGGCTGCCTGAAGCTTTGGGTGCCCCCAGGCCACCTGGATGGTGAGGAGGCGGTGGGGGGTCCCTGTCCCATTGGGCAGGGCTGCGGGCAGTGGTCACATAGTAAGCCAGGGACCCTTTGTTCTAATCCCTCACTCCCAGGCCTGGAGTAGGGTCTCTTCTAGCTGTCAGGGTCAGGATGAGCCCCTCGAGGACCCTGGGCAGGGCAGACCAGGCTGCAAGGTAGGCCTGGGAGCCGGGCTGGTGCCAGGGTTTCCCCTTCTCCGCCAGACCACCCATCTTCAGGCTACCTGTGACTGGAGTGAGTCCTTCCCCACCCAGGCTGAGGGGAAAGATGCAGCTACCTGGGCCGTGAGGTCCCCAAGGGTCTTCCCAAGCCCGCGATGTGCTCCTGATGTCTTGGGTGGTGCTCCGGGATGGGGCCACGTTCTGCAAGACACAAGGAGACCAGGAAGTCAGTTTAGGAGGTCTGGTGGCTGAAGACTGGGGAGGAAGTGAAGGTGGCCCTTCCCTCCACCCCTCAAGGATCCCTCACAACCTCCTGCAGATGGGCCCGACCCAGTGAGCCCTGAGGTGAAGAACTTTCCTGGGAGGCAAAGGGCTGTGAGGACAGCCTCTGCCTTTGCCTCTGCTCCTGCCTGATGCGCACGCCGAAAAGCAAACCCCACCCACTGGCTCTTGCACAGCCAACTGTGGGCCTGGATGTCCTCTAGGGTCTGCAGAGGAGGGGCCAGTGGGGCTCAGGGTGCTGGCTCACAGTGGAGCACCGTCTCTCCACCTCAGTGCTCAAAGAAGCCCCTGCCCCCCTCGCTCAGCCCTGCCTTGGCACCCACTGTTCCCGAGGGCTGGAGTGTTCTCCCACCATCAAAGGCCCCATTCCTACCCATTCTTTAGGTCACCTCCTCCAGGGAGCCCTCCTGAATCAGGGATCTCCCTAGCTCTAACAGTAAACTGGGGGTCCCTTGAAATCAGCTCACAGATACTTGCAGTGCCCACATCTCCCCAGGCCTGGTAGCTCCACGGCACGGACCATGTCTTACATGGCTTTGTCCCTGGGTACGGCACATAGTGCCTGGCACCCGGGATGTTGGGAAGTGCCCCACTCATCCCCCATCACTCCTGGAATGACGCCTAATATCTGGGACTTACAAGGTCCAAATAGGACTTTGGTTCTTTCCCAAGAGGTGACTCAGGTGGTCACTGTGAGCCACGGAGGGAGACACCCCAAGACTGACTGCAGGAGAACACCAAGGCCCAGGAGCTGGCATTCACCTGGGGTGACCCAGAGGCCCGCTCCGTACCCTCCCCATCCTGCCTCAACTCAGGCTGGCAGGCGGGCACTGCTTGCTATTGGTGAGGATTTGAGGGCAAACCCAGGCCAAGTCTGATGCACCATGGCTGGGGTTCTGCTGGGCCTCAGGCCAGACTCAGGTGGGGTGCTGAGCCCTGAGTGGGGGTAGGAGGAAGGTAGGGTCCAGGTCCTGAAGCAGGAGGGTGCTGCACAGCCCTGTACGGCTGCACACCTCGGGCACTGAGGCCCCCAGAGACTGTTTTCTCTCTCACACTCCCTGGAACCCTCCCCAGGCCCAGGCTTCCCAGCTCCTATGGACCCCGGGTTGCAAGAATGCTTGACCTGCTGGGTGGCCTAGTGTGGCCGCCCTGAAACCGTGTCACCTGAGGACTGGGGCAACTCTCCTCTTTGACAGCTGAGAGTAAGTGGTGCTGGGTCAGGGACGGGGTAGGGCCAAGAGTCGCCCCGGTCACCGTTAATGAGCTAAGGGGGCATCTTCTCAGCAACACTCCCGGCTTCGAGTTGGTTTCATGAGGCCTCCGAGGCTGGGAGACCTGCTGGTGGCATCCCACAGATGTGCTTGGCCACACGCTGGGCAGAGCCTGCAGCCAGCACCCCCACCCCGACCCTCTTCCCATCCCACAGAGGCTGTGCCACAATCAGCCCATCTCTGAAAATGGGAACAGGTCCACGGTGACAATCTCCATGCCCACTGAGGGCTGGGAGGGGTCCGGGGTTCCACAGAAGCTGCAGGTGGTAGACAGCAAGGGGAAATCGGTGCAGGCCCACTGCTCCTGCCTCTTGGACAGAGCCTGCAGGAGGCGCTGTGCTGCATATGCTGTCCTAACCCTTAGGAGGCTGCGCTGAGGCCACAGAGCCCATCATCAGGATGGCTGGGGCTCCCTCTCCACTCTCCCACCAGCAGCCTGGGCCAAAATAAAAGCCCCCACCCTGGGGCCTAGCGTGCCCTGATATCCACCCTAATAACCCTGGGTCCCCCTGCCTGCCACCCACGGAGATGCCCCCCTGCAAGCTGGTTAAGGAATCCCACGTGACCCACCCTCACCTGCTGCCCTGGGCTGGGGTCACCCCAATGCCCTCACCTGGAGCAGACAGGACAGGAGTTCTGGGGCCCCCCAGGAAAAGTACCACAGACTGGAGCTCCCCAAACAGCACGGGGGCTGGCATGGCATGCTCTGCTCAGGTTCACAGGGCTGCCACCCGGGCAGGCCCAGCCACAGAGGCCTACTTTTTTGTAGCTAGCCTAATTTAATGTATCTCGAACCCAGATTAGCATCAGACGTCAGACTTCCAGCTTACAGGAGCCAAGGGAGGGGAGGGGAGATGGGACAAGCCCGTTCCCCCAGTGGCAAGTGGAGAGAGACAGTGGGCAGCCCTACAGCCCACCTCCCGTCTGCCCTGGATGTGCCAGAGGTGTGGGATTTCTACCCTCACAGGTGAGTGGGCACCAGCTTTGGGGCAGGTGTGGTCCTGGGAGCTTCAGCTCCCCCCCTTGGAGACACAGGAGCCCCATCGAGCAGCACCAGCTCCCGCAGTCTGCCCACCACCACTCACCCCAGCAACCTCCCCTCCTCTCTGCCTGGTTTTCGCCACTGGGTTCTCGAGTTGGACAAATGCTGCATTACCTGCCCACGGAGACTTTCAAAAATCTGAAAATGCCCTGCTCCCTGGGGGCTGCCTGAGCCTCCCAAGGCTGTCTCCCCTCTGAGCCCACACCCCAAGGTGTGCTTACTTGCAGCACAGGGCCAGCTTAGGCCATTTTCACAGATCGTAGCCCACTGAGGCTGGTGCTAAACACTGGGCTGGGAAAAATGCCCCAGAGGCCGATCCCCAGTCCCATCCCTGCCCCCCCCCCGCCCCTGCCCACAAGCACCCCTAGGTCCATCCGCAGGGTCTGTTCCCATCTCAGCTCTGCCCCTGGTCACCCTGAACAAGCTCCTTTGCCTTTCTGGGACCCAGTCTCTCTGTCTGTAAGATGGGGACAATGACACCCACCTTCTTGGATTTACACATACGTCAGAGACGATGTTCCTTGCCTGGGCATGGTGGGACTCAGTGGACGGCAACACCCGCTGCTAATCCCCCAGGGGGCTTTGAGTACATGGGAGATGTCACTCCAGGCTCCAGTGCCTGGAGAAATTCCTCCCCCGCCTCTTTTCATACAACTGACTGCCAGCTGTAGTCTGGGCCTGTGGCAGGAGGGGCCTGGAGGAGGTTGCAGGGGCTGGCTGGGAGATGTGGCAATAAACGTGGCCAGCAGGACCTGCGCAGACACTTCTGGAGGCAGCCCAGGAGGCTCTGAGTGCCCTGCAGGAACCCCGACGTTGGCCAAGCTGCAGGGCCTAGGTCCGGGGCCCAGGACTAGCCAGGGACTCAGTCTCATCTTATCTTCAGCACTGAACTTGGTCCCTCTCCAAGGTCACATGTAGGAGAAACATCCTCCATGCACAGGTCAGTTACACCAAGCGCCCCTCAATTGATGTGTGAAGATGCTGTGGAAAGGATTGAAATCCGGCCCTGGGTAATGCTGTCAGATGCCCAAGGCGTCCAAAGAACCCCAAGCAGGCCAGGCACAGTGATTCACGCCTATAATCCTAGCACTTTGGGAGGCCAAGGTGGGCGTATCACCTGAGGTCGGGAGTTCGAGACCAGCATGGCCAACACAGCGAAACCCCATCTCTACTAAAAATATAAAAATTAGCTGGGCGTGGTGGTGCATGTCTGTAATCCCAACTACTCAGGACGCTGAGGCAGGAGAATTGCTTGAACCTGGGAGGCAGCTGTAACAGTGAGCCAAGATCACGCCACCACATTCCAGCCTGGGCGACAGAGTGAGACTGTCTCAAAAAAAAACCAAACAAACAAAAAAAAGAACCCCCAGCGGTCGGCAGAGGTCAAAAACACATGGCAAAGTTGCAGGCAGTCATGTCCCCTAGCGTCCCTGAGTTTGCACAAACCAGGGCTGTATCCCCATCTCAGCCACTTCTCTTGGGCCAAAATGGCTCCAGTTGGGACGTCTGACAGCTACCACGGCAGCTAGTGTGGTCAGGGCACAGGGGGAGTTCAAATCTCCAAGGACACGGCATCTAGTGGTGGAGCTGTCACCCTTGGGAGAAGCAAGGGCTCTCGGGCCACACACAGGTTGCACAGAATCTTCTAGGCTCTTCAGTCTTCAAGAAGCCGGCCTCTCCTCTCCGAGCCCCAGTATCCTAAAGGATACAAAAGGATACCCAGTATCCCAGTTGCCTTTGTATCCTAAAGGCAACTATTTACACCTACTCTGTGATCTGACGCCACAGTAAAGAGAAAATGAACAGACGTGAAATTCCCAGCGGGCTTGCCTGGCACACAGTGGGTGCTCACACGAGGCAGCTGGCAACGACTGCTAACCACCAAGTTGGTTCTGGAAAAGCAAGCCACGGCCAGACACGTGGCCATTCACACACCCACCGGGAGCTTCTGTTTGACGAGGGTTTGTCACAAACACTGCTAGTATCTGTAATGGCAAAACGACGGGCCACTGGTTCTAGATGAGAGAACTGAGTGCTGCTTTCTTTACAGGTATTATTTCCAGACATCACACTCGCAGCATTCTAACCACGCACCCAAGGCTATACAAGGACAGATTCTGACCCAGAAGCAGCAGCAAAGTGGCTCTCATCAACCATGCCAGATGTGGGGGAAGGCGGCCTTGCAGCACCCCTGTGCACCCAAATCTCCAGAACGCCCCTTCCTTCCCCTTCAATCGGCTCTGCTCCTTTTAAATGGAGGAAAGAAAATGTGCCTGGCAGATGGGTGCTGCTGCCCCATGACCTCCTGAGCATTTGCAAATGTCTCTTTTTTGGGGGAGAACATGTTGCGATAATTTAGCCAGGTTAGTGTCACTCTGGCCAGATGATAAGTTTTGTAACTTAAACATTTTTTGCACATTGCAAAAGGAATGGGTGCTCATTCAACAAAGTTCTGGAAAACTGAGAGAGAGAACACTGCAGCAAACACTGACAACCCCATGCCAGGCCTGGCACGCGGCACCCTGGCTCGCAGGGGCTCCCGTGTGCATCTGGACGTGGGCCGCCTCCACCCGCCCACAGAGGCTTCTCTCATTGTGAACGGCCAC